CAACCCCATGCCACACCCCATTCCCCACCCCATGCCACACCCCATTCCCCACCCCATGCCACACCCCATTCCCCACCCCATGCCACACCCCATTCCCCACCCCATGCCACACCCCATTCCCCACCCCATGCCACACCCCATTCCCCACCCCATGCCACGCCCCATTCCCCACCCCATGCCACGCCCCATTCCCCACCCCATGCCACACCCCATTCCCCACCCCATGCCACACCCCATTCCCCACCCCATACCACACCCCATTCCCCACCCCATGCCACACCCCATTCCCCACCCCATGCCACACCCCATTCCCCACCCCATGCCACACCCCATTCCCCACCCCATGCCCCAACCCATTCCCCACCCCATGCCACACCCCATTCCCCACCCCATGCCACACCCCATTCCCCACCCCATGCCACACCCCATTCCCCACCCCATGCCACACCCCATTCCCCACCCCATGCCACACCCCATTCCCCACCCCATGCCACACCCCATTCCCCACCCCATGCCACACCCCATTCCCCACCCCATGCCACACCCCATTCCCCACCCCATGCCACACCCCATTCCCCACCCCATGCCACGCCCCATTCCCCACCCCCATGCCACACCCCATTCCCCACCCCATGCCACACCCCATTCCCCACCCCATGCCACACCCCATTCCCCACCCCATGCCACACCCCATTCCCCACCCCATGCCACACCCCATTCCCCACCCCATGCCACGCCCCATTCCCCACCCCCATGCCACACCCCATTCCCCACCCCATGCCACACCCCATTCCCCACCCCATGTCACACCCCATTCCCCACCCCATGCCACACCCCATTCCCCACCCCATGCCACACCCCATTCCCCACACCCCATGCCACACCCCATTCCCCACCCCATGCCACACCCCATTCCCCACCCCATGCCACGCCCCATTCCCCACCCCATGCCACACCCCATTCCCCACCCCATGCCACACCCCATTCCCCACCCCATGCCACACCCCATTCCCCACCCCATGCCACACCCCATTCCCCACCCCATGCCACACCCATTCCCCACCCCATGCCACACCCCATTCCCCACCCCATGCCACACCCCATTCCCCACCCCATGCCACACCCCATTCCCCACCCCATGCCACACCCCATTCCCCACCCCATGCCACACCCCATTCCCCACCCCATGCCACACCCCATTCCCCACCCCATGCCACACCCCATTCCCCACCCCATGCCACGCCCCATTCCCCACCCCATGCCACGACCCCATTCCCCACCCCATGCCACACCCCATTCCCCACCCCATGCCACACCCCATTCCCCACCCCATGCCACACCCCATTCCCCACCCCATGCCACACCCCATTCCCCACCCCATGCCCACCCATTCCCACCCATTCCACCCCATTCCCCCCATGCCACACCCCATTCCCCACCCCATGCCACACCCCATTCCCCACCCCATGCCCACACCCCATTCCCCACCCCATGCCACACCCCATTCCCCACCCCATGCCACACCCCATTCCCCACCCCATGCCACACCCCATTCCCCACCCCATGCCACACCCCATTCCCCACCCATGCCACACCCCATTCCCCACCCCATGCCACACCCCATTCCCCACCCCATGCCACACCCCATTCCCCACCCCATGCCACACCCCATTCCCCACCCCATGCCACACCCCATTCCCCACCCCATGCCACGCCCCATTCCCCACCCCATGCCACACCCCATTCCCCACCCCATGCCACACCCCATTCCCCACCCCATGCCACACCCCATTCCCCACCCCATGCCACACCCCATTCCCCACCCCATGCCACACCCCATTCCCCACCCCATGCCACGCCCCATTCCCCACCCCATGCCACACCCCATTCCCCACCCCATGCCACACCCCATTCCCCACCCCATGCCACACCCCATTCCCCACCCCATGCCACACCCCATTCCCCAACCCCATGCCACACCCCATTCCCCACCCCATGCCACACCCCATTCCCCACCCCATGCCACACCCCATTCCCCACCCCATGCCCACGCCCCATTCCCCACCCCATGCCACACCCCATTCCCCACCCCATGCCACACCCCATTCCCCACCCATGCCACACCCCATTCCCCACCCCATGCCACACCCCATTCCCCACCCCATGCCACACCCCATTCCCCACCCCATGCCACACCCCATTCCCCACCCCATGCCACACCCCATTCCCCACCCCATGCCACACCCCATTCCCCACCCCATGCCACACCCCATTCCCCACCCCATGCCACACCCCCATTCCCCACCCCATGCCACACCCCATTCCCCACCCCATGCCACACCCCATTCCCCACCCCATGCCACGCCCCATTCCCCACCCCATGCCCACGCCCCATTCCCCACCCCATGCCACACCCCATTCCCCACCCCATACCACACCCCATTCCCCACCCCATGCCACACCCCATTCCCCACCCCATGCCACACCCCATTCCCCACCCATGCCACACCCCATTCCCCACCCCATGCCACACCCCATTCCCCACCCCATGCCACACCCCATTCCCCACCCCATGCCACACCCCATTCCCCACCCCATGCCACACCCCATTCCCCACCCCATGCCACACCCCATTCCCCACCCCATGCCACGCCCCATTCCCCACCCCATGCCACACCCCCATTCCCCACCCCATGCCACACCCCATTCCCCACCCCATACCACACCCCATTCCCCACCCCATGCCACACCCCATTCCCCACCCCATGCCACACCCCATTCCCCACCCCATGCCACACCCCATTCCCCACCCCATGCCACACCCCATTCCCCACCCCATGCCCCAACCCATTCCCCACCCATGCCACACCCCATTCCCCACCCCATGCCACACCCCATTCCCCACCCCATGCCACACCCCATTCCCCACCCATGCCACACCCATTCCCCACCCCATTGCCACACCCCATTCCCCACCCCATGCCACACCCCATTCCCCACCCCATGCCACACCCCATTCCCCACCCCATGCCACACCCCATTCCCCACCCCATGCCACACCCCATTCCCCCACCCCATGCCACAGCCCCATTCCCCACCCCATGCCACACCCCATTCCCCACCCCATGCCACACCCATTCCCCACCCCATGCCACACCCCCCACCCCATTGCCACACCCCATTCCCCACCCCATGCCACACCCCATTCCCCCACCCCATGCCACACCCCATTCCCCACCCCATGCCACAACCCCATTCCCCACCCCATGCCACAGCCCCATTCCCCACCCCATGCCACACCCATTCCCCCACCCATGCCACACCCCATTCCCCACCCCATGTCCACCCCCATTCCCCACCCCATGCCCACACCCCATTCCCCACCCCATGCCACACCCCATTCCCCACCCATTCCCAACCCCATTCCCCACCCCATGCCACACCCCATTCCCCCACCCCATGCCACACCCCATTCCCCACCCCATGCCACACCCCATTCCCCACCCCATTGCCACACCCCATTCCCCACCCATGCCACACCCCATTCCCCACCCCATGCCACACCCATTCCCCACCCCATGCCACACCCCATTACCCACCCCATGCCACACCATGCCCCACCCCATGCCACACCCATCCCCACCCCATGCCACACCCCATTCCCCACCCCATGCCACACCCCATTCCCCACCCCATGCCACACCCCATTCCCCGCCCCATGCCACACCCCATTCCCCACCCCATGCCACACCCCATTCCCCACCCCATGCCACACCCCATTCCCCACCCCATGCCACACCCCATTCCCCACCCCATGCCACACCCCATTCCCCACCCCATTCCACACCCCATTCCCCGCCCCATGCCACACCCCATTCCCCACCCCATGCCACACCCCATTCCCCACCCCATGCCACACCCCATTCCCCACCCCATGCCACACCCCATTCCCCACCCCATGCCACACCCCATTCCCCACCCCATGCCACACCCCATTCCCCACCCCATGCCACACCCCATTCCCCACCCCATGCCACACCCCATTCCCCACCCCATGCCACACCCCATTCCCCACCCCATGCCACGCCCCATTCCCCACCCCATGCCACACCCCATTCCCCACCCCATGCCACACCCCATTCCCCACCCCATGCCACACCCCATTCCCCACCCCATGCCACACCCCATTCCCCACCCCATGCCACGCCCCATTCCCCACCCCATGCCACACCCCATTCCCCACCCCATGCCACACCCCATTCCCCACCCCATGCCACACCCCATTCCCCACCCCATGCCACACCCCATTCCCCACCCCATGCCAAGTCAGCACACCTGGATGAGAGCGCGCTCGACCACGCAGACTTCTTTGACCCGTCCTGGCGGGACGCTGACTTGGCGGCGCGTGATTTGCCGCCGAACACGCTGCGCTCGTCCTCGTCGGCATCGCTGTAATCCTCGTCATCGCTGAAATCGCCGTCCGCTGACGTGTCAGAAAAGAGGTTGGAGTGGCTCCAATCGCTCGTTCTGACACAGTGCGGAGTGGAGGAGCAGGGAAAGGGGGGGGAAATAGGGCATAAGTGGGGGCGGGGGAGGGGAGGGAAGAAACGGGGAAGGGAAGGAGTGCACAAGGCAGATGCATGGGGAGTAAGGACAGAATCACCATCCGCTGACGTGTCGGGAAAGAGATTTGAGTGGCTCCAATTGCTTGTTCTGAAAAAAAGGTAGGAGAGCGGGGGGGAAATCGCGGAGAAGGGAAAGAGAAAAATCAGCTAAAGGGAAGCCAAACTCCAACCAGTGCAGCAAAATAAGCTGCGGTGCTACCAGGGCTGCTCTGCTCTCGACAGTTAATAGTTGCCAAGTGCAATCATTAAAGGTTTGGATTAAAGGTTAATAGTTGCGATTAAAGGTTTTTCGAGGTTTGGAGGCTTCGAGATCTTTCTTTTAATTTCTAGGAACAAGTTTCACAGTTTCGATCCTTTTGCTAAGCGTTTTCTCACAAGTTCGCTGCTACTCCCATCATGAATCTTGAAAGTTGCCGAGTGCAATCATTAACGCGCGCGCCTTGAAAGGTGGGCGCAAGAGGGGCGAGTTGCTCGTTGTGTGGGTGGTGTGGCGACAGAGGCGCGCGGGAGGGGGAAGAGGGGAGAGCGAGCAGGGAGTGCGGACAAAGACAAGGCAGATGAGGGGAACGACAGCACTCATCTGCCTTCGCTCTCTTGCCACTCACCCCACAGCACCGCACAGCGCAGCACACCACACTACACCACTCACCTGCCCCTGCTTCTGCCAGACATGGTGGACTGGCCGTCACCGCCTTCCCTCCTCCCCATCCCCTGCCTGCGAGCACCCCTTTGCACCCCTTTGCACCCCCACGCCACCCCCCCCTCCTCGCCCCCTCACTCCCAACCCCTCCCAACCCTCCCCCCCATGGCAACCCTACACTACACCACTCACCTGGCCCTGCTTCTGCCAGACATGGTCGACCGCCCGTCACCGCCCTCCTCACAACCCCCTGCCTGCAAGCTCCCCTTCCTCCATCACTCACCCCCAGAAACCCCTAGCAGCTCTCTCACACCACTCACCTCGCCCTGCTTCTGCCAGACATGGTCGACCGCCCGTCACCCCCCTCCTCCCCGTCCCCTGCCTGTGATCCCTTGGCCCCCGCTCCACCACGCTTCTTCTCCTTGGCCTTGGCCGCTCGAGCCACCTCCTGCAACAGAATGAGGTTGAAACGATACAGCACACAAGGGGAACCGGAGGGGGGAACACGAGGAGGAAACGAGTGAGTAGCCAAGACACCTGTCCATCTTCCCCCCCTTTGCTCCGGCCACCGTTGCATGGCAGGGCGGCAGCAGCACATGGAAGGATAAAAGCCTTGCGATTCACCTCTCAGCCCTGAAGGGTGTGAGTGAGAGACCCGCCAACCCACCTTGCAGATGTGAGTGAGAAGGCGCTGATGCTCCTCTGGTACCACTGCTGCCACCGTGGCATGGCCGGGCGACAGCCTTCGACTGTGAGTGAGTGAGTAAACTAGCCTTTGAACAGGCCTTTCTGCCTTTAACCCACCTTGCGGATGTGAGTGAGAAGGCGCTGATGCTCCTCTGGCACCACTGCTGCCACCGTCGCATGGCCGCACCGCCTCGCCAGCCGCTGCACTATCTTCCGCACCTGAGAGGAGGAAAGTGTGTGGGGTGGGGTTGTTGGGTTGGTTGGAAGTGAAGGGAGAAGAGGAGCATGGGTGAGAAGAGAACAAGTCAGGCGGGACCGCATCCCTGTCATGGCCGCACCGCCTCACGAGCCGCTGCACTATCTTCCGCACCTGAGAGGAGAGAGGAGGGGAGGGGGGATTCATTGGGATGGAAGTGAAAGGGGAAGAGGAGGATGGGTGAGAACTAGGCAGGGGAGACCGCATGTGTCGCACGGCCACACCGCCTCGCCAATCATTGCACTATCTCGCGCACCTGAGAGGATGGGAGCAGTAGATTGGGGTGGGGTGGAGGGAGTGGGGGGAAGGAGAGAATTAGCATGGGTGCGAGAGTAAGTCAGATGGATTTCTCACCGTTCAAAAGAATGGCATGAATGCTTTTTGAGAATTCTAAAAAAACATGTGCTGGGAAGAGTGGGAGAGAACAAAGCTGGGTTGGGGAGACGCTGTGACGGCACGAGGGCAGAGCGATGGGCACTGGGATGACCTGGGATGGCTGCACCATACCTTGGCCTTCAACCTGGTTGCAACGATTTCATTGGTGGGGAGCAGAGCAGCCATGATGGCAGAGCAGCCATGATGGCAGAGCAGCCATGATGGCAGAGCAGCCATGATGGCAGAGCAGCCATGATGGCAGAGCAGCCATGATGGCAGAGCAGCCATGATGGCAGAGCAGCCATGATGGCAGAGCAGCCATGATGGCCAGAGCAGCCATGATGGCAGAGCAGCCATGATGGCAGAGCAGCCATGATGGCAGAGCAGCCATGATGGCAGAGCAGCCATGATGGCAGAGCAGCCATGATGGCAGAGCAGCCATGATGGCAGAGCAGCCATGATGGCAGAGCAGCCATGATGGCAGAGCAGCCATGATGGCAGAGCCAGCCATGATGGCAGAGCAGCCATGATGGCAGAGCAGCCATGATGGCAGAGCAGCCATGATGGCAGAGCAGCCATGATGGCAGAGCAGCCATGATGGCCAGAGCAGCCATGATGGCAGAGCAGCCATGATGGCAGAGCAGCCATGATGGCAGAGCAGCCATGATGGCAGAGCAGCCATGATGGCAGAGCAGCCATGATGGCAGAGCAGCCATGATTGGCAGAGCAGCCATGATGGCAGAGCATCCATGATGGCAGAGCAGCCATGATGGCAGAGCAGCCATGATGGCAGAGCAGCCATGATGGCAGAGCAGCCATGATGGCAGAGCAGCATGATGCAGAGCAGCCATGATGGCAGAGCAGCCATGATGGCAGAGCAGCCATGATGGCAGAGCAGCCATGATGCAGAGCAGCCATGATGGCAGAGCAGCCATGATGGCAGAGCAGCCATGATGGCAGAGCAGCCATGATGGCAGAGCAGCCATGATGGCAGAGCAGCCATGATGGCAGAGCAGCCATGATGGCAGAGCAGCCATGATGGCAGAGCAGCCATGATGGCAGAGCAGCCATGATGGCAGGAGCAGCCATGATGGCAGAGCAGCCATGAGGGCATGAGAGCCATGATGCAGAGCAGCCATGATGGCAGAGCAGCCATGATGGCAGAGCAGCCATGATGGCAGAGCAGCCATGATGGCAGAGCAGCCATGATGGCAGAGCAGCCATGATGGCAGAGCAGCCATGATGGCAGAGCAGCCATGATGGCAGAGCAGCCATGATGGCAGAGCAGCCATGATGGCCAGAGCAGCCATGATGGCAGAGCAGCTGAGCAGGCAGCCATGATGGCAGAGCAGCCATGATGGCAGAGCAGCCATGATGGCAGAGCAGCCATGATGGCAGAGCAGCCATGATGGCAGAGCAGCCATGATGGCAGAGCAGCCATGATGGCAGAGCAGCCATGATGGCAGAGCAGCCATGATGGCAGAGCAGCCATGATGGCCAGAGCAGCCATGATGGCCAGAGCAGCCATGATGGCAGAGCAGCCATGATGGCAGAGCAGCCATGATGGCAGAGCAGCATGATGGCAGAGCAGCCATGATGGCAGAGCAGCCATGATGGCAGAGCAGCCATGATGGCAGAGCAGCCATGATGGCAGAGCAGCCATGATGGCAGAGCAGCCATGATGGGACAGAGCAGCCATGATAGGCAGAGCAGCCATGATGGCAGAGCAGCCATGATGGCAGAGCAGCCATGATGGCAGAGCAGCCATGATGGCAGAGCAGCCATGATGGCAGAGCAGCCATGATGGCAGAGCAGCCATGATGGCAGAGCAGCCATGATGGCAGAGCAGCCATGATGGCAGAGCAGCCATGATGGCAGAGCAGCCATGATGGCAGAGCAGCCATGATGGCAGAGCAGCCATGATGGCAGAGCAGCCATGATGGCAGAGCAGCCATGATGGCAGAGCAGCCATGATGGCAGAGCAGCCATGATGGCAGAGCAGCCATGATGGCAGAGCAGCCATGATGGCAGAGCAGCCATGATGGCAGAGCAGCCATGATGGCAGAGCAGCCATGATGGCAGAGCAGCCATGAGCCATGATGGCAGAGCAGCCATGATGGCAGAGCAGCCATGATGGCAGAGCAGCCATGATGGCAGAGCAGCCATGATGGCAGAGCAGCCATGATGGCAGAGCAGCCATGATGGCAGAGCAGCCATGATGGCAGAGCAGCCATGATGGCAGAGCAGCCATGATGGCAGAGCAGCCATGATGGCAGAGCAGCCATGATGGCAGAGCAGCCATGATGGCAGAGCAGCCATGATGGCAGAGCAGCCATGATGGCAGAGCAGCCATGATGGCAGAGCAGCCATGATGGCAGAGCAGCCATGATGGCAGAGCAGCCATGATGGCAGAGCAGCCATGATGGCAGAGCAGCCATGATGGCAGAGCAGCCATGATGGCAGAGCAGCCATGATGGCAGAGCAGCCATGATGGCAGAGCAGCCATGATGGCAGAGCAGCCATGATGGCAGAGCAGCCATGATGGCAGAGCAGCCATGATGGCAGAGCAGCCATGATGGCAGAGCAGCCATGATGGCAGAGCAGCCATGATGGCAGAGCAGCCATGATGGCAGAGCAGCCATGATGGCAGAGCAGCCATGATGGCAGAGCAGCCATGATGGCAGAGCAGCCATGATGGCAGAGCAGCCATGATGGCAGAGCAGCCATGATGGCAGAGCAGCCATGATGGCAGAGCAGCCATGATGGCAGAGCAGCCATGATGGCAGAGCAGCCATGATGGCAGAGCAGCCATGATGGCAGAGCAGCCATGATGGCAGAGCAGCCATGATGGCAGAGCAGCCATGATGGCAGAGCAGCCATGATGGCAGAGCAGCCATGATGGCAGAGCAGCCATGATGGCAGAGCAGCCATGATGGCAGAGCAGCCATGATGGCAGAGCAGCCATGATGGCAGAGCAGCCATGATGGCAGAGCAGCCATGATGGCAGAGCAGCCATGATGGCAGAGCAGCCATGATGGCAGAGCAGCCATGATGGCAGAGCAGCCATGATGGCAGAGCAGCCATGATGGCAGAGCAGCCATGATGGCAGAGCAGCCATGATGGCAGAGCAGCCATGATGGCAGAGCAGCCATGATGGCAGAGCAGCCATGATGGCAGAGCAGCCATGATGGCAGAGCAGCCATGATGGCAGAGCAGCCATGATGGCAGAGCAGCCATGATGGCAGAGCAGCCATGATGGCAGAGCAGCCATGATGGCAGAGCAGCCATGATGGCAGAGCAGCCATGATGGCAGAGCAGCCATGATGGCAGAGCAGCCATGATGGCAGAGCAGCCATGATGGCAGAGCAGCCATGATGGCAGAGCAGCCATGATGGCAGAGCAGCCATGATGGCAGAGCAGCCATGATGGCAGAAGCAGCCATGATGGCAGAGCAGCCATGATGGCAGAGCAGCCATGATGGAAAGCAGCATGATGGCAGAGCAGCCATGATGGCAGAGCAGCCATGATGGCAGAGCAGCCATGATGGCAGAGCAGCCATGATGGCAGAGCAGCCATGATGGCAGAGCAGCCATGATGGCAGAGCAGCCATGATGGCAGAGCAGCCATGATGGCAGAGCAGCCATGATGGCAGAGCAGCCATGATGGCAAGAGCAGGCCATGATGGCAGAGCAGCCATGATGGCAGAGCAGCCATGATGGCAGAGCAGCCATGATGGCAGAGCAGCCATGATGGCAGAGCAGCCATGATGGCAGAGCAGCCATGATGGCAGAGCAGCCATGATGGCAGAGCAGCCATGATGGCAGAGCAGCCATGATGGCAGAGCAGCCATGATGGCAGAGCAGCCATGATGGCAGAGCAGCCATGATGGCAGAGCAGCCATGATGGCAGAGCAGCCATGATGGCAGAGCAGCCATGATGGCAGAGCAGCCATGATGGCAGAGCAGCCATGATGGCAGAGCAGCCATGATGGCAGAGCAGCCATGATGGCAGAGCAGCCATGATGGCAGAGCAGCCATGATGGCAGAGCAGCCATGATGGCAGAGCAGCCATGATGGCAGAGCAGCCATGATGGCAGAGCAGCCATGATGGCAGAGCAGCCATGATGGCAGAGCAGCCATGATGGCAGAGCAGCCATGATGGCAGAGCAGCCATGATGGCAGAGCAGCCATGATGGCAGAGCAGCCATGATGGCAGAGCAGCCATGATGGCAGAGCAGCCATGATGGCAGAGCAGCCATGATGGCAGAGCAGCCATGATGGCAGAGCAGCCATGATGGCAGAGCAGCCATGATGCAGAGCCAGATGGCAGAGCAGCCATGGATGGCAGAGCAGCCATGATGGCAGACAAGCCATGATGGCAGAGCAGCCATGATGGCAGAGCAGCCATGATGGCAGAGCAGCCATGATGGCAGAGCAGCCATGATGGCAGAGCAGCCATGATGGCAGAGCAGCCATGATGGCAGAGCAGCCATGATGGCAGAGCAGCATGATGGCAGAGCAGCCATGATGGCAGAGCAGCCATGATGGCAGAGCAGCCATGATGGCAGAGCAGCCATGATGGCAGAGCA